GGGCCCTCTCCTCTCCTCTTGAGGTATTCCTGATATGGCAGCGTTCACACTCCGCGATTCAGCCCACCACCGCCGGAAGTGCTTTCAACTTTTGACCTGGCGGTCCTGGTCCTCATTTATTTCTTCGGACCGAGACCTCCGTCGCCACTCCCATTCCCCTCGGATGACTCACGATAGGTCTCTGTTCTCGCTACAGTGCCCGCACTGGCCGCATATCTCCCCCACGCCGATCCTCCTTTAGTCGCCCCACTACCGTTAGTCATCTTCGCCACCAACCCTGACTGCTCCACGTCTCGAGCCCTTTCCATGGCGGTTAACAGATCGCGCGGATCGTAAGGCCTAACGAGGTCCCTGAGTCCTTCTTGTAATCCTACAAAGAAATACCCAAGAAGTTGTTCTTCCATCTCGTTCGTTGCTTGAGCCACCAGTACTTCAAATTCTTGCACATATTCCTCCACCGCTCCTCTCTTTCGCACCGCCGCCAATTTTTCGAAGATCGTCCCCCGATGCCTACCTCCAAACCTCCTGACCATTGCTTCCATCAACGTCGCCCAGGTAGGGTTCTTAACTTTCTTCCGCCAAAAACGAAACCAGTAGTTCGCTTCTCCCTCCATGCAAATGTACACCAGTTTCATCTTCTCCTTTTCAGTTACACTCTGTATTTCAAAAAACTTCTCTGCTCTCGCAATCCATCCCGTCGGATCGATCCCTTCGAAAGTGGGTAATTCCACTCTCTTCATCCAGCTCTTTTGAACGTCGCCTCGCTCTTCCTCCGATTCATCCTCTGATTCTTCCTCATCCTTCTCCCGACCTCCATTAACCGAACCACGACTGCCTTCGGAACTCCTCCCCTGGTTCCCTCCTCTTCTCCCAAGGATGCGACCCACGTCTCGAGCCATCCCTCGCATCTCGGCCCGGAATTCCTCCATCGTCGCTTCCATGGCATCGAACCTTCCCTCCAATACACTCACCTTGGTCTCCATCTCGTCTCTCCTTCGATTGGATTCGGCAGGTCAGACCAATATTGTTGGACTTCTTTAATACAAAAGTCAGTACTACAAATGATTCCCACAAAACAGACCCAAGCTACTGAATAAACTCGTCTTATTCAATGAATTCAAGTATACAACGTATCACAAACACCCAAGGAAGCCAGATCTCCCTCCACTAGACTAAGTTCCATTAAACTCAATAAACAAAATACAATTCTGATAATCTCGCCCTTTTCACTCAACTCTTTATTTATACTCTCCTATTCTTCTAACTAACTCCTAACTGAATTCTCTAGTTCCCGCCTTTATTCTTTCTCACATATACTTTTAATCCTCTATCAATTCAGACCTTTCATTCTCCCATTTCATTCTCCCGTTTCATTCTCCTGTTTCATTCTCTCGTTTCATTCTCCTGTTTCATTCTCCCGTTTCATTCTCATGTTTCATTCTCCCCTTTCATTCTTTCCTTTTATTCTCCTCTTCCACAAGCTTCTCACCACCATCATCCTCAACTCGCACGAGTCAAACTCAACCTCAAACTAACCTGTAAATTGTTGCTTCTCATCTCGCGCAAATAGCTTTCAAATCTGCCGCCACTGCCTTCACCACTAGTCTTCGTCACTGCCTCCACCACTGGTCGTCGCCCTTGTCTCCACCATTGTTTGTCACCGCTACCTCCACCATTGGCCGCCACGATAAAAAATTTTAACCTATTGCTCCAAGTTGTTGCCTCTACTTCTCTCGCGCAAATTACGTTGTTTGTTGTCACCATTGGCCGTTCGGCGTCGCCACCGACTGTTCGTCATCGTCTTCGATCGTTTGTCGCCACCTTCAGTCGTTCGCCGCTGCCTTCGACCGTTCGTCGCCACCTTTGACTGTTTATCACGTCGTTTTGTCGCCGCCTCCACTATTGTAGATAAAATAGAAAAAAATGATTTTGAAAGGAAAAAGTCCGAATTTTTTAAAAAAAAATTAAAAAAAGCATCTACCTCCTCGATTCAAAACCAACCAAGGCATAAGACTCTCACATATTGCCTCGGTTCAGAACCGAGGCAAAACGATTACCCCTTTTTAACTCGCCTGTATATACCTCGGTTCAGGAACCGTTGCGTATAAACGAAAATAACCGATGTCGTTTCCCTGTACAAGTGTCGATTCGATATTGACTATTAAAAAATGAGTTGGGTCAAACTGACTTGCCAATTGAAAATGGGTTGAATTTTATAACTAAATCCATACGAGCAGTTAGGTTGGCGGGCTAACACTTTTTTTTTGTCATTAAAAATTTAAAATCACATGGAAACAAAATAATTTTTTTTTACATGAAAATGGAGTGAAATGGACTGAAAAGGGTTGTTGTTCACATGTTTTCAGATCTTGATGGACCAATATCAGACTTTGATTGAGTTGTATTAGATCTTAACTGAGTTGGTAGGCTCTGTTAATGAAGTCGGACTGTGTTAATATGAAATGTTGCGAAATATATTCAATTTTTTTAATGAAGCGAGCTAGTCCAACTTGACCCATTGGCCTACTAGACTGCCTAATTGGTTCGTGCTCCCAAATTTAAAATGTCATCCCAATCCGCTGGACTTGATTTTTTGCCATCATTACTTTTATATAGACAAATATGGTCTTTTAAATGTGATTAAGACAATATAAACGTAACATTGGCGATGAGAAAAAATATGTGAATAAGATAGACCATTTTAAAAAGAAAATATAAATCTAGAGGAGTTATATTTAGATTCCTATTTTTATCTCTCCCACACCCCCAAATACTTTCGTATTTGACAAAAAAAAGTTTGAAATATAAAAATATATTCTAAAATCTTTCTAGGAATTTAGAAGTCCCATTCGCGTTTGATAAGGCTAACCGCGGAGCATTTATTCAAGTGACATTTTGTTTTGGGCTCATTCTTTACTTGGGTGGCATTTCAAATCTTTATGGCACTGGAAAGGAAATTTCTTCCTGCATCCCATGTCTTCTTCCTACACCTCCATAAGCAAAGTAAAAAGTCGAATTTGCTCTCATCTTTTTCCCTCTTCCTCCCCCATACGGCACCTTTATACTTTTCTCCACCTTCACCCATCTTCTTCTTCCACCTCCACCCCATCTTCGTTTTACACCTCGACCTTCGCTCTATCTCCACCTTTGGCCTCCCCATAAAATCACATGGTGGTGGAACTTCAAACATTCAACAACAAATGGGAAGAAGATGGATTGTGTGCATTCAAAAATGTATATCATGCTTATACAATTTGAAATGTATTTTATATTAGGAATTATACAATTCAAAGTGTAATTTGAGCTTTAGATTAACTATTTAATTTTTCATTACTTATTATACAATCTAAAATGTATTTTTACATTACAAATTATATAATTTATAATGCAATTTGTATTATAGATTGTATTTTAAATTTTCATTATTATTATATAATCAATCATATAATTTTACATTATAAATTTTACAATGTAATGTATATTTTAGATTGATGTTCAAATTTATATTACAAATTATATAATTTGAAATGTAAATTTACGAATTATAAAATTTGAAATGTAAATTTAATTACACTACAGTAAATCCAAAATTATAATTATTGTAGAGACACAATTGGAATTTTAAAAGATATGGAAATTTAGGAATAAACAAATGAGGCTGCACATAATTATCTAAAGCCCAATAGCTTACTGGGCCATCAAGTGGACCAAAAGTTAAGTGGGTGTAGAACTTTAAAACCATTCCTTGTATTAAGAAAAGGAGAAGTGCATGTTTACCTCAACTAACACGTTAGAGTTGAGTATTTGGACAAATCTCATACATAAGTTACTCGAGTAACTCAACACATGGTTAAAGTTGAGTATTGGGGAAAACCTCCTATACGAGCTACTTCCATAACTAAATTAGTTGAGTCTCAACTTGTATTTTTTTTTTCGTAAAATTTGTATAACTCCTATTGCCCAAGGTTTCTATAATCATCACATTCTTTAATTATATTATATGCACCCTTTACTCTTTTTTTCTCTATAAATTTAAAATCTTAATTATGTGAACTCTTTTAATTTTTTTTTTTATAAATTTAACTTTTTAGTGATTATTTTAAAGTTAATCAAATATTAATATTAATTTTCACTTTAATAAAAACATGATAATTACTAAAGATCAAACATGTGTTCAATTTTTCAACCTTTAACAGAGTATAATAAAATTAATAAAAGGCTTAATTAGTAATTTAGTTTTTAGGCCTATTATTCACTTTGGTTTTCATATTTTTTTTATAGAGTTAATTTGGTCATTTTTCTTAAATTATTGTGAAAGACGTTTAGAATGTGTCATATGTCAAACCATTTGGAAGATATCATATGTCAAAATCTTAAAAATATCACATGTCAAATCAAAAAGATTTGTGTTAATGTCAATTTAACAAAAGAGATCAAATTAAGTCTTTTTAAAATATACCACATTTAGTCTAATTAAAAATATAGGAACGCAATTGAGGAAAAATTATTTGTCACCAAAATTATTTCAATTCCATCACCTCTTTTCTCAGGAGTTACTGATCAACCCTCTTTACCACCTACATCTCCTCCTTCTATTGTTCCTGACCTTGTTATTTTTTCTTCTCAACTTGTTTATGTTGAACCTGCCACTTCTACTCCACAAAGGAAATCAACTAGGCCAAAACATAAACTATCTTATCTGCAGGACTATCAACATGTTATCTACTTCTTCCGCCACTTAGTCATCCATAGGTACCTTATATCCTATCTCTTCATATCTCTCATATGATGGATTATCATCTCTTCATAAATCATATATCCTTAATCTTTCCCAAGTTAGTGAACCTAAAACCTATAACCAAGCCATCAAACATGATTGTTGGAGAAATGCCATGGATTAAGAAATTGAGCTTTAGAAAATACCAAAACTTGGGTTTTGACTGATCTACCTTATAGAAAGTAACCTATCAGATGTAAATGGATATATAAAATAAAGAGGCATGTTGATGGGAGTATTGAACAATACAAGGCAAGGTTAGTAGCCAAAGGCTACACACAACAACAAGGCTTAGATTACTTTGAGACTTTTTCACCTGTTGTCAAACTAAATACAGTAAGATTGGTTATGGCTTTAGTAGCTTCCAAACATTGGTATTTACATAAACTAGATGTAAATAATGCCTTTTTACATGGGGATCTAGATGAAGAAGTATACATCTTGGCTACAAAACTAAAAAACTAAGGCAAGTTTGCAAGTTGTTGAAGTCTTTATATGGACTCAAATAGGCCTCTAGACAATGGAATTACAAATTGACAACTACTTTACTCTCTTTGGGCTACATACAATCAAAATCAGATTATTCACTTTTTGTCAAAAGTGATTTTTCTCATACTACCATCTTACTTTTTTATGTAGATGATATAGTCTTGACAGGTGATGACATCCAGGAAATCCAAACCGTGAAGACTCTATTGAATGCAAAGTTCAAGATTAAAGACCTAGGCCAACTCAAGTATTTTTTGGGCTTAGAAATTGCAAGATCTCAACAGGGCATTAATTTGTCACAAAGGAAGTATGCTCTAGAGTTACTAGAAGATGTAGGATTGTTGGAATGTCAACCTGTTTCTACTCTCATACAACCAAGCACAAAATTTTCCAAGACAGAAGGGAAACTCTATTCAGATGTGCATGCCTATAGAAGACTTATTGGCAGGTTACTATATCTAACCAACACAATACTAGATTTATGTTTTGTTGTTAGTACTCTTAGTCAATTTCTTTCCAATCCTTTGGAAGATCACTATGCAGCAGCAATAAGAATCCTGAGATATATCAAGAACAATCCAGGACAAGGATTATTCTTTCCCTCCAACACAGAACATGCTCTCAAGGCTTTTAGTGATTCTGATTGGGCTGCTTGCCCTGACACTAGAAGGTCTGTGACTGGTTTTAATGTGTTCTATGGTGCATCATTAATTAGCTGGAAATCCAAGAAGCAAGGTACTATATCTAGATCATCAACCGAAGCATAATATAGAGCCTTAGCTTCCACAACATGTGAATGTCAATGGCTTATGTATTTGCTCCATGATTTGAAACATCCTATACCACAACACGTGAATTTTATTTCTCTGGCTCATGTATTTGTTTTATGACAATCAATCTTCTATACAAATTGCACAGAGTCCAACCATGCATGAGAGGACAAAGCATATTGAAATTGATTGTCATCTCATAAAAGATAAAGTTTAAGCTGGTGTAATTAAGCTCATGCCCATTTCTACTTCAGCATAATTTGCAGACATTCATACTAAAGCTTTGCATCCAACACGATTTCAATCTTTGTTGTCGAAGCTGAGCATTAAGGATATATATGTTGCAGCTTGAGGGGGGATATTGGATTTAATTTATTTTCCATTCATATCTATTTATTTATGTTCATATATTTATATTCTATTTTTATATTTATATTCCGTTTTTATATTGTTTTAAACAGTTGTATATATAAATTGTACTCTCTCCTTATCATTGAATAAAAAATACAATTTTCATCATTTCTTTTCTCATAACAAGTTTATCAACTTCTTTAATAAAAAATGTCTCATTCATGAAATTTTTAGCTATAAACAACTCGCTTAATCTTTTTAATAAGTTGTAAGTTAGTGTCTTACTAAATACAGGTGATAAACATATTGATTTATCTATTGCCGAATCATGTCAATAACCTTCCCATTTGATAAGTGTCAAAATTTCCTAAATTTTTACATAAGAACATAACACTTATTAATGTAATTGTATATAATGATGATAATAAAATACCCTTATCTAAGATATATTGAGTGTGAATACATAATTCAAAGTCTTATGATGATTTAAATTGTTTAATTTCCATTTGTACACAGATTTGAATGGGAAAATAACATGACAAAGTACCCAAATGTCACTCAAGTGAGGAATATCTAGCCCAAGAGAGATTGGCAATAACGAAGATGTTGACTCAGACTTTTGTTGCCCAAGCGTGACTTCTGTTGCCCAAGCGACAATTTGAATTATGGAAGGGAGCATCTGGAACTTTCTCGCTCAAGTGAGAATATGTCGGTCAAGCAACATTTTTTCATCTACTTTCTCACCTAAGCGAGAAACATGTCATCTAGGCGAGGCATAAACAAATAGCATTGATTTGGTGTCAATCAAGCGAATTATGTTGCTTGAGCAAGAATTACTATCACTTGGAAAAGACTTTTTGTGGCTTGAGCAACAACCTAATAATTGGGGCTGAATTACTTTAAGACCATAAGGTGTCAAAGTCAAGTGCAAGATTTGTGAGGGAAACTGGTTAGAAGACAAATATGAAGTAGAGGAAGTGTAGAGATATCGGGGAACCTTCTCTTTTGTCTTCCTTACCCATTTCTTTTGTTTGTAATGGCTACCATGTGTAGCATCTCCCTCTTTGGGATTGAATGTAATCGACTCAAACTCAAATATATTATGGTGATATTTTCATAAACTAAATTTTATTTCCATTAAAATATGTATTTTCATTTTGTTCTTCATGCTTGATTCTATATTGTATCTTGATTGTGAATTTTAGATTCATTCGTGGACTGCTTTTGAAATTCAAATTGGAATGATATTAGGAATAGATCATAACTTATTAATTGCTTGTAAACATCTGATCTTAAATGCTGAATAATTTATGAATTGTGTAAGGAATCAACAACTAGTAGAATTGTCTTATCAATTTTATGCTTTAGGAATCAATATAAATGAATTTTGTATAATCTAAAATGTATATGATTGTATTAAACCAGATTACATTTGAGGGAGATAGATGAAATTCAATTCCAGCCTTTTTCATTGACAATCTTTCACTAAATTTTCCATTTTGATTTGTAATTTTATGCAATAAAAATTATTTATTCTTGCAAAATCAAATTTTAATCAATTGATTTTCTTTAACATCACATAAGCTAGTGATTAAGCACAAATCAACTAAACAATTCAATTCTCTTAGGAAAAAATATTCAGACTTATCATTTTATTACTTGAATGATTTAGTACGCTTGTCAAGGTTTCAAAACCATTCTTCCTCATATTTATCTATTGATTTAATCTGTTTCTCCTCTACAGGATCATACATGTCTTTGCAAAATAAAGAATCTTCTATTTCATTTTTTTCATTTTGAATAATTGGTATAATCCAATCTAATCATGAATCTAATACTATCATAGTCTACCATATTCAAAGCATAAACCAAAGCTCAAAGAGCCAATACTAATTGTTGAAAGACCATAAAAATAACAAACAAAAGTAAAACCTATGTCAAGTCTCACTTATATAATAAATAGTAGGCTCTAGGAAATATCAAACAATAAACAATAATAATTGATCAAACAATAACACAAGAAAATCCAAATTGTTATCAAATTAAAGAATAAAGAGAACCAAATATATGGAATAATTGAAAATAAATCATTTTCTTTTTTCTTCACAAATCTAAATGGGATGCATAAGCATACCGATATAAGAAATTGCAAACCACCTCCAATATAAAAGTTTAAAACAATGTGTTTGTGTAGCCTTTTCCTTTTTAGTGTGATTCTTAAACTCATAGTTAGATACCTAAAAAACTTTCCCTTAGGTGTGACTTCATTCCACATCAATACACTTCCCCTAAAGAGAAAGTATGTTTAACCATAGTTACCTTAATAATGACCTTTTCTTGTATTTGAATTGATATCAAGACAAACCAACAATCTTGATACAACTATTTAATCTTCCAAAAGGGGATATGCTAGGAAGATTTAGCACCAATAAATCATATAAGCAACTAATATACAATATTATGACATCACTTTCAACCCAAAATTTCAAAAAAGAAAAAAAGTTTGAATTTTCTTTTTCTTATATATGAATCAACTTTTTCAGCTTTACTCAATGCTCAAATTTACACTTAAATTCCTAACATTTGTCTCTTTATATTTCTCTTTTAAAAAAAAACTTGATGCAAAAATTTACATTCTTTAAAACCTATAATGGTCTACCTAAACAAAAAAAATATACTTTTCTTCTTTAATTAAGTTGGATCATCCTTTAGAGAATTTTGGAATTATCTCCACGGTTCCTGGTTAATATTTGTAATTATTTATCTTTATACGTATTAAATCTTTGTATGAGTTAATGAATATGCTTTACTGGGGAAAAATATATTTATGAACAGTTAATCTATTATTGATTTTTTTTCACTGTTACATTTATTAAACTTTTAATGATGTTTTTATAAAAAAAAAAATTACACCAACTTAATTTATAGTGTTTGTTTTTGTATTTTTTTTATATGTATGTAATAGGCCAACCTATAAATAATATACTTTTATGTAATTTTTTTAGTTTAATAAGTTAATCTAACCCTCACCCTCCATCTACTATTATTATACTGGATTGAAATGTTCAGTAATCTTAAAATATATTAAATCTAACTTATTATATTTTTATTGAGTAAAAATAGAATGAACTTGTACACAATCCATTTTGATATGAGAAGACTAAATTGATGGGTATATAATTTAGGCTTAAAGGTTAATTTTATCCTCTTTTGGATTAGTTTTTTCAATGTGGTACTAGTTTTTTTTTCAATCAAATCCTAATTGTTATTAACGTTTGATTTTTTATACTTGTTAAAAATAGGGTTATAATATAAAAATAATGAAGAATTTTCCTTTTTAACTTTAAATTAACTCTATAATAATATAATTAGGTAGTTTAAAAGTAATTTTAGAAATATTTAATAAAAGTGCAAATTTTAATAAAAAATATTATTATAATATTTATATAAAAATTAAACTTGGTTTTAATTTGAAAAGGAAACAAATTATTCTATTTAAAATATATTGATACTAAATTAAATCAAAATAATAAATATAGAGACTAAATTGAATATAAGACACTCACACTCACATGTGATATTTCTACTGTCATGTTACACGATATTGACTTGACACAGAAACAATTTTTTTAAATTAAAAAGAAATTAAAAACAAAAACATATCTCTTTTGTAAACATTTCATCCCATAAACCTAGAAACATAGAAATAAACATGCACATAGAAATAGTCCTACATATAAATATTTAATGTGATTTTTGGTTTCGATAACTATTGTTATTATTTTTGAGTGAAAAATAGTTTGACCACTCTTTTAAACTCCTATTTCATGAGAAAAATCCTAGAAGTCTTTATTATGGGTGAATTTGAAGTTTAAAAATTATTTGGATTGTAGATCTTAAAATGACTCTAACTTCACTCTAGTTAACAGTTTTTGCATTATTATATATGGATTTGGCGATACAAAATTTTTTTTGATACCTTGGTAGCTCGCGTAGCTAGCTAATCCTTCTAGATTTTCTAGAAAACGTTTTCTATTTTTCAGAATTTTTTTTTCGAACTTTCCAAAAACATTTAAAATAGTTAGACTTGAATTTTGAGCTGAATTTTTTTGTAAGGGGTTTGCATGATTTTTTGGTCATTCCAACAAATTTTCATGTCATTTGAAGTTTGTTTTAGCATACTCTCAGTTTTACCTATACCTATGTTTTGATGTATATGGTGTATGAAGAACAAACAACCAAACAAAAACATGAAAAAACCTAAAATGAAACTAACCCTAAAGATGAGTTTGGTGCTAAAACGAAATGACATGAACAAAACAAAGCATTTATCCAAAGAGCACCTGTGGACAAAATTAATCGGTTAAAACGAAAGAAAATCATACCTAATCACTTAATCAATGTAAAATGATAGAAAAAAATGGAAGAAATGTTCAAAATGATAGTCGCGAAGATGGAAGACGAGAGAGCGGTGCAACAAAAAAAATGGTTGTTTGAAATGTGCAAGAGGCTTTGTTCGCAAAATTTAACCCTAGAAACATGTTATTACCTCAGTTATTTTATTAACCGAGACAATAAGGGTTCTATGGTTTCAATTATTTTATGCCTCGGTTCACGGCATAACCGAAGCATAAATACTCTATGGC